AGCATACCTACACTTAGATAACGCCCAGACAACATTAATTATTCAGTAAGATTTCCCCGTCTACGTTCGACATCTTATCTTAGGAATCCTCCTTCGACCCCCCGCCTTAACAAAACCTAAGAACCCCCCATTTTTTACGTCTACAGCTATGAGAGTTCTACCACAAAAACCTTAGAGACACCTTCACCCCCCACTTTTCACGTCCACAGCTATGAGAGTTGAAAATGTGCAGATTCTGAGCTCAAAACTAAGTGTCCTAGGCAAATAAATATAAGTGTTTTATACTTTAATTTACACAAGTTTACAATAGTTTCATCGGTAAAGCATCCAGTGCGTGGCTGGAGAGTCCGAGTTCGATCTCCGGTTCCAGCAGTATCTTTTTTCTGAAAAAATAATCCTGTATAAGTTGTGAAGTCGTCGAATTATGTATTTGGTTTCGAACCTCAATTCTAGGTCAAACAATGACCTTATATTCCAGCAATAATTGTATTTTAATTGCACTTTAACTCGCTACATTTCAACTCTATTAATGGTTTGGCGGATTACATTACATTTAAAGATAGAGAAATATTTCATAGTTTATACTCTAAACATCCCGCGATTTCTAGCGAATCTTCAATGGGTACAGAGAAAAAAACAGTAATGACTAAAAACTAATTGATAACAATAATTTAAATTATTGAAGAATTATTTTCATTAGATTTTATATATGTTAAATACCAATTTTACACGGTTTAAAGATTGCCGAAAACACTGATTTAGACCCATGTTTACTATAGTAAAGAATGTTCTATTAAGGAGACTCGAACCCCAAATCTCAATTAAGATTTTACTATACTATCCGAGTAAAAATGATCAGTTTTTGAGGCCCATAATGCGCTTAATCCAAGCCCAAAAATATATTTCTAGGCCTGAAACGCGCCCAATCCAAGCCCAAAAATATTTTAAAAATCTAGAAAAGAAAAAAAAATTGTCATAAAAACTTATCATCGAATTAAGTTTGGTGCTACAAATTTACATTTGTAATAATTTATTGTCATCATTGTCGAATATGATCTAAGAAAATGAGTTTGAATTGGGCGCGTTTTAGGCCTAGAAAATATTTTTGGGCTTTAATTGAGCGTGTTTTAGGCCTGCAAAATATTTTTGGCCTCGAATTGGGCGTGTTGTGGACTTAAAAAATATTTTTGGGCTTCAAATAAGCTCCTTCAAAATTTAGGCCTGTAATGGGCTTGTTTTGGGCACTGAAAATTTCTCTAAGTCAAGATTGGGCTTCAATCGGGCCTGTATTGGGCTTATTTTTTATTTGGGCGTGTTTTGGACTTCTTTTGGGCCTATTTATTTTTACTCGGGAAGATAATAAAATGATTAAGGAATAAAGTAAAAAATCCTTAGATCGACTTTGCTTGATTTTTTCTAATTTTTTTTATCATACACGGAGAGAAAAGAATTATTAATTTTACTCCAATAAATAGTAGTCGGTCGCTTCGGGTGCAAAAATGACAATAAGTAATTATTTAATTGGCATACATTACAATTTTTTCTTTTACGAATTTTATTACACACTTCAATTGTAATATTTTATAATTATTTTTGTATAGTTCACAATTTTGATTCATATTGAAATTTTTACAAGAAAAAATGGTAATGTATACTAATTAAATGATTGCTTATTGCCATTTTTGTACCCAGAACGACAGACTACTACACGGAGAAACAATTCCAATAGAAAATATTGGAAACTCCAAGAAAAATTACCGTGCGACACGGTAAATTTTACTAACCTAACCTCTAATTTTTATTTAATTTGAATATAAAAATTATTTTGCCAACAATAAATTTTATTACCATTATTTACAAATTTTTTTTTATATTTTAGCTGTAATTTTATAATAATGATAGTAATATTAATAATATTAAAAAAATAATGGTAAAGTACGGCCGCTTTTACGGCGTACGTGTACAAACGTGGGCGCGCATGCGTTGAACCTTTGTCATCATAAAGCTGTATGATGATTTTAAAAAAATTTTGCAAGTTTTCTGTAATATATCTATCAATTCTATAAATATTGTAAATTAAACGATTGAATTAGATTCACCAATCAATTTTGAGAAAAAAATGTCGATTCACGGAACTCTCTGCCAATTATTAATAATTTTATTTTAATTGTAAAATATGGGCCTTCAATCGCCTGTGTGCTTGGAGTGAGAGAGAAAGTGAAATTTTACCGTGCCGCAATAGAAAAATTCTAGGACAACAAGTAAAATGTATGTTTTATCCTCTAATTTTTCTTTAAAATTCTATCAATTATTCGTTGTCCAAAAAAATTACCGTGCTGAACAATAAAAATTATTAGCTAGACTACAATTTTCCTAGTGAAACTTATAAGTTTTCATTTAAATTCTTATAAAAATCACTAAACTGACAAAATGCGTCCAGTTTATAGTGTTGGACTATAATTTTCATTTTGCATTTTTCTCCGTGTATTTATTGGAGTAAAATTAATAATTCTTTTCTCTCTGTGTATGGTATAAAAAACTACTTCAGACTGCAAATAAAATTTTACTAAAATTCAAGTAACATTTTTTATTATGAGTTTACTTGATTAGTCAAGTAACAGAACTCTGATCATTTCTTCCATGTGCCTATTGAAGATCCAGCCAACCCTACTTGGAGGATCTCGTGGGTGAATTTGAAGTTGAAAGAGTTGAAAATGCGACCAAAATTTCAACTCGAGTGACCATCTCGCATTTTAGTATTTACATTCAGTCGATCATCAATATAAGTAACAATCGTATTGTAATAAAATGTTTCAATGATCTCTGATTGATTATTCGATTGAGTTTTACACGCAAAAAAAGTTGTATGACTTCATTCCTGTATTAAAAATTGGCATTTCAATCTAGTGGTTGGCAAACAAGTCTACGATTGCGAAGTTTTCAAGATTGAGTCTACGTCAGTTTCATTCATTGCTTCGAAAGTTGTTTTTTAATATTGATAATGAATTTATGATAACAAGCCGCCATAATCAAGCAAAGCCAATTCACGTTTAAGAAAAAATTATCCCAAAACTATTAGAAGCTAAATACAATTTAACACGGACCAATCACAACGCGAATCAAAAGCTTTACAACTTCCGTGACAATCAATTCTTTAAAAGAGGACTAGTGGTCATTTAGAGCTGGTTGAGGGCTTATTTACTTCCTCGAGTGATTACAAATAATTATTTGTTATTTTATCTCAATGAACAAAGTATAATTTTCAAGGTATTTAATCAAAAAGGTGTTAACACAGCACTTTTCTGTAATAAACATTTTGACCGGCTAAATTTTTGAGTCAACTTCTTTAGTCAATTTAGTCTGTACATTTAAAAGAATAAGACTCTTATTTGAACTAGAATTACGGAATAGACAAGTAAAACACCTATCTGGCGTTGTGATCGCTAAATTGTCTTTATTAATATCGACACGACAAATTCAAAGAATAAACTCATTTTTTTAAACAATTTCTAGTGAGAATGAAAATCATCGAATATTAAAGATCTTCTAAGATATAATGCGGATGTATACTCTGAAAAATTTAGTTAGCTCCCATAGTTAGATTTACGATTCTGTGTTAATTTCTTATTCAACAGAAAATAGTCAAGTCTTTTTCGAACTGATAATAGTAAGTACAACTATAGATTTCTCTCAGTTCTCATATCATGATATCTACTTCTAAAAACCATTGGTGTAATATAACAGGTTCATATATTGGTATTATTTATTTGGATTTAACGATGACGAAAATTTTATTGAGATATGGTGCAATGATAATGGATGATTGAAACCTCCATAAGTAGATTATGTCAAATTGATGGCAGCAACTATAGATACGTACTATTGAATACATAGGATGTTCAAAGCTTGTCGAATGGTAAGTTTATCGAATAACTTTGTTAATCACAAGACGTCGATCAGACAATAAGTAACACGTAATTTTGTCTAATAATCTATTCAATCTATGATGTAATTTAAGATTCCTAAAAATGTTAATGATTGATGATTTTAAACTTAACTGTGAAAACTTTTCTTGATGAAATCTAGAAAACGGCGGAGACTAATTTATTTAAAAAAAGAACTCTAGGAGATACTCCAAAGGAATTAAATATCAATCTATATTTATTTTTTTTTAAGATCATTAATATTATGGTGACTTACTTGTTACTTTAAAATTTTGAAGGATAATATTTTACCATAATCAAAAAAGTGAATTTTATAAATAGACTAGCTACGGCTAACTATTTGAAAATTAATCACATTAAAAAAGTTGGTTCAACAAAATGGTGACTTTTTTTTAGTAACTGACGAATATTATTATTCACATATTGCACACCAATGTGAGTAATATTTCACACTAATTTTTTTTTTTTGCAATGATGTATTTTTAGAATTAAAAATTTTATTAACAATGATTCAATAAACATGATGAATCTTATTTGCAAGAATAATAGTTACTTCGATATGATCTGCAAAAATTGTAATCCCAATACTAGAGCTATCAGATATACCTATTCAAGCCGACAGTAGAATTGAAACTGAAGCTCTAATACTCATTATAGATTCTCTGATCGATATGATGGCTGCTAAGGTAATCATAGATTCAGATGCTTATTTTCTTTTCTATAAAAATACTATTTGACAAGAAAAGCCCCTCTTGTCATCTACTATATTGTAGTTGAAGAGATTATATTCTAGTGAGAAAAATACTTGGTCGTAGTGTTTTTCTTCTGTATGTCACTTCTTGTCTATAGGATGAGAAAAAGAAAAATACTTAACGAAATATCATAGCAAGTTATTGCAAAAGAAAAAAAATGCTGAGTGATAATTTAAATAACTATAAAATATACAAACAAATGATTGATATTTTACTTTTTTTTATTGGTTTCCATCAAAATGGAAAATGTATTATTCTTAAAAAATTTTTACCTTATTTGCATTTATGTTTGTTGATTGTACCTATGTATGGTACTTACGCTTTTAGTAAAATTCATTATACAAATGTTATGTTATTGACAAAAAGTTTTAGTGTTATGACAAGCTTGATATCAATGATGATTAAAGTATGATAATCGTTAATAGTGTTTAGCAATAATGAGTTGATCTGATAGTATTTTTCAAAGACATTAGTTGCGTAGATGTTATGATTTAAAATATGAATTTAATAATTCAGTGTTGAAAAATACTTCAAAAATCGTTCTTGTTAAAATGTTTGGCTTTCATTATGTTTCTAAAACGGATTTTTAAAAAAAAAACACAATCATTCATTATTTTTAATGTATAGATGTTTATTAATATTTAAAATACAATTTAATTATATTTCATTGCAAAAAATAATGATTATTTATATAAAATTATTAGTCGTCACAATTTTTTGTCCATTGATTCAGACGATTTGCCAAGTAGTCATCGATCAGAAACGAAGTTCTAGATGATATCAACTTTATATGTCATCTGTCATCATCTGAAAACAGAAATAAAGGAAAAATTAGTATAGGCAATTTATAATCATTAAATTTTCAGCAAAGTCATTACATTAAGCGATAACTATAAATCTCTCAGTTAGATCTGATTAGGTTTAATTACATCAATTATGTTTTGCATAGTACAATTGATAAGAGACCCTTTATTAATATTGAATTATGAGTAATTTTCATTGGTACTTAATGAATATTTTATAAAAACTAACTGAGGTGAGCATTAAAATGAGTCTTGGACACTATTTATTTTTAAAAGATAATATTTCAATAACTAATTTAATTGAAGCAACCTCTAAATAAAATTTTAAAATTCAGAGCATATTAAAAAATTAAATAAATTCACAGTGCTGAATTTTTTTTGCATGCATGAAACATTCTATTTGCAGATCAAACCATTATTACATGACACTAAAAAAATGTAATTACTTTAATAGCTAAGTACAATTGTTAAGAAATTTTTATTTTTTAAGATGGGATGTCTACTGTTAAACGACAGAGATGTAGATGACTTGTATAAGGAGCTCAATTCACAGTTCAACATTTATGTAAAGGATGAACACCTGAAAATTTCAGCTCTCAAAGGATCTATAACTTTTTATCGATTGTGTATGGCTGACGTCATTTCAACTTTCGTTTTTTGCGCAGGATACTGTCTCGTTCCTGTTATTTTTATTATTCATCAGTGTATTAAAAATCCCGAAACGAAAAAAAATATTCTTCTATATCCTGCAGTTTATCCTTGGAACGTTACTCCAGATAGTATTGTGTATGTGATCCAAGTGGTAATTGAAAGTTTATCTTTAATATCAAGCTTTTGTGTCAATGCCGCAGTTGATTCTTTTTACTCCTTTTGTGTTTTTCAAATAACTGGATTAATTCGTGAGGTTTCATACGACGTAACAAATATCAATAAAAAAAAAGAATATCGTATAATTATTCGACAATGTGTTCATAAATTTGAAAAAATAATGTCATGTCGTAATAAGCTTGAACGAATTTATGGGCCCATTATTCTGTGGATTATGGTATCTAATGCTACTATTCTCTGTACAACTATTTTTCAACTAACACATGTATAAAAATCTATTTCTACAAATACTTATATATTATTTATGTGCTAATTTTTATACTCTTCATATTCATCTGGCAGATTAAAACATTATCCTTTGCCAGATTAGTTGTTGTAATCGCCTACGTTAGTATGAAATTGACACAGACATTTTTGTATGGCTGGGCAGGAACACGTTTAACTACGGAGGTAATGATTTTTAATTTGTCCAACACAAAAATTTAAAGGTATGTCGGACTACAGTCAGGGTCATATCAGGCTGGATAGGGTATACCATATTGACCTGAACAAAAATGAGCAGACCAATTATTAGTTTATTTGTTTTTTTAATTTGTGATCAATCAACTATTTACAATTCATATAAAATTATTGGTAGACATCTAGATCATTGTTGGAATACTTCAAAATTGCACTCATGATCAGTCAATGAAAAAACTCGCAGTGTACTAAAAGTGTTTCTTGGAATCATTATTTGTGATGCAGTCGCTTATACTGAACATACTATGTAGAAAAAAAAACTGTCAGGATATATTTTATGCCTGGAAACGTCAAGAACATACTTTGTATAAATTTGGAAATTAAGTTATTTACTCTCTTACAAAAAACTTATGCCTTGTAACTACAATCAACATTTTTCTTGAAATTTAATTGTTATGGAAGTTAATGACGTTCTATTCACCATTGAATTTTAAGTGTTGATGAGTGATTAGAAATAATAGCAGAAAAATTATTCAGTTTAAAAGAAAAAAAATGTATTTGTCAATATTAACTCAAGTCGAATATTGATAAGGTCTGAATCATAATATCTTCAATGAGAATATTGAGATTTAAACTTTTAAATAGAAGCATACTTACAAAAGATAAAAGAAAAAACCATTTATCTTTCAATATCCTCATTGATTTTAATTAACTGATAAAAATATTATCAGTGATAATAAAAGACGATAGAGAGGTTTAAAAACTAGTACAACATGATACAAGATCATAGCCAATGTTTTAAATGTAATTTTGCAAAAGAAATGTACAAAATATTCATGATAAACTAATTATTGGTTAGAAATGTGTTCGTTCATTTTTGTAAGGAGAATGATTTCCTAATCAAAAACCATTAAAAATCTGTTAAATTTCACTCACAATTTGGATGTTTTAAATAATAAAATTAGTAGACTCCAAATAATGAATATGCTCATAAATGATGGAATAATTATTAACGAACCCAATTCAAAAAACTGTAATTTTATTAATATTTCATTGGATAGCCTGGTTAGAAATATATGTTTTAAAACCATATATTTCTAGTAAAGGCCCTGTAAAATTTCCGGCATTTGCGAATTTTTATCAATTTGATTTTTGAAGGTATATTTTATTCTAGAGCGAAAACTTTCGAGAAGCAGTATATTCGAGTAATTGGATTGGAAATTCAGAATTTTCTTCTGCCATTCGCCTCATGCTAGTTCAAAAACCACTTAAATTAACGGCGTTTAAATTTTTTGTCGTATCAGTGGACATGTTTGCTAAGGTAAGATTTGTAAATTTTTTATCATAATTTTATTTAAAAACTAATGTCATTCAATTCTTACAGATCGTCAACACAACTGTTTCTTATTACTTTTTACTGAAAACCTTTGAATCAGATTGATAATTTGTATTTTGCACAAAATAGAATAAAAGTTTGTCTGTTATTTTCAGAAAAATTTAGCTTTTTTTTAAATCTAAGTCTCACTAAAAATGTTTTATTAAATTTTATGTGTCAGACCACGTGAATAAGCAATTACATAATTATCTATATTGTGATATTCCCTATGAAACAGTGTAATAAGCTTCTAAAAATTCATTGGCTACTTATTCTCTGGGGTATGATAAAAAATATTTTCATCATGTATGTCATTACTTTGTAGTTTTATTTACTCACATTTTTTTCTGATGATATATAGATACTTCAGATCAAAGAAAAACATTTTCACAAAACACTTTTTTTTCTTGAAATATTCAAACTATATTTATTATAAAGCTATTTCTATTGTTTCCAAATCCATCACAAATTATGATTCTTCACGACTTTAGTTTATTTTTTTGTTAAACATTGTATCATTGATTATAAAGTTTATGAAAAAAGTATTTTTTTGATTCTACTCTCTAAAATTGAATTAGTAAACATTTTACTTATTTATCCAATTAGCTATAATTTTACTGGAAAATTAGTTATTTCGGGCCCAATTACTAATAAAGCAAGTAAAAATCTTGAAAATGCATTGCAGAGTTATGGCTCATGATGTCGTACATGTCGATGTTTTATGATTATTTATCAATGTGCAGTCTCGAGTGTGTATATAAATAAGAATAAACGAATTTAATCTCTAATCATCGAATTGTATACATGCATCCGTGCATATATGAATGTATAAATATATCTTCTTATTCACTAGTCCAATCAGTAACATTTACTGGTTCGATTGGTATTAACTGACTAATTCAACTAGTAAAGTACTATCTATTGGTTCAACCAGCAAAAATTTACTATTTCATATTGTATTAATGAGCAATGCTACAAATAGTAAATATTCATTTGATATTAGTAAATAGTTACTAAATTCTTTTTAGAGAGCAGGAATGCAAAGAATTAGCTAAAAAATTTATTACGATTTTTCGGGATTTATTTTTACTTTAATCATAAATAATTAAAATTAATTGATCACTCTTGTAATAATATCTGATTTATTGGAACTCTGTCAGATATGTGTCCAATTCAACAACAAGATTAAAACTGAAGCTCTGATACTTATTATGAATTCTCCAATCGATATCATACACGGAGAAAAAATTCCAATAAAAATTACCGTGCTCAGCACAACAATCCACGCGCAAATGTCAATTCCCCAAAAAATTAAGACAACCTTCAAAGAAAAATTAGTAATCCTTTTAAAATTTTTATTATAGATTCAATATTTATTAAGAAGAGTAAAAGTAAAAATTCTTATGCAGCACGGTAATATTCGATAAATATTAATTTTTATTCAAACTTTAAACAAAAATTAGTAAGTGACTAGAAAAAAATGAGAATCTGTATATAATTTATTATGATCCGTGTGGTAGGAAAAATTCGGGTGCTCTCCTATAATTTTTTCTATTCTCGAGAGTTTCCGTGCTGGGTCGGGAATCTTCGAATTATCGGTCCAACACAATCTTTCTTTGTATTGTAAGACCGTTCACACAATCAAAAACATAAGCCGTAAAACGTACAATTTAAGACGTACGCGTGCATACTAACATCATAATAAGTTAAAAATTGGTTTGTACGCATGCGTACATCTTACGGCTTTTGTTTTTGATTGTGTGAACACCCTCAGTGCTATAGTTACTTTTTCCATATTGTAAACAAAGATGACATTCATATTTTTCGTTACGATTCAATATTGGCGGCAACACGTTATATCTTAACAATTTATGATAAGCTTAAACGGATTGACGCGGTGGACTCATGGGTAAGCGTCAGCTTGACACACGGATGGGTCGCGGGTTCGAGTCCCGGCCGAGACAAAAGTCATTTATATGATTTTTCTCGGGCCACCGTGAGCGGGAGAGGAAGATCTCTTCGGAGAGCCGGGTGGTTGTATCGACGACACAGGTTTTCTGCGTAAGATCCCGATCGTAGGGATAGGGGGGGGGGCAGTATTGTAAAACGTGTGCCGTATTTCATTCCAACGAATTAATTAGTTAAGAAAGTTAATTATCAATGAACCTAATTTATTTATTTATTTGTTTATATAACCAAAAAAATTATCACTAAACTTAAATAAAATTGTTTGTCGGTTACGTAGTTATCACAGCTAACGTTACTAAATTTTCAGGTGCTGTGGAACACTAAATTTTCTGGTGCTGCCAAAGTAATTTTCAAAAAACTGAATGATACATTTTCTTATGTAACTTATAATTTTTGTATGTTGATCATTACTTTTTACTTTTCAGTAAGTTTGAACTCACATTCTTGAGCAGCACGGTAATTTTTGTATGGATTTTTAAATAAAAATTAACGGAATTTTTTCTCCGTGTAGCTATTCAAATAATCATAGATGATTATACTAGAAACTTTTTTCTACAAGAAACTTATCTATCAAGAAATCCCCTACTCTATCATCTATTTTATTCCCATTCTTTCTGAAGGGTTTCATATTAGTACGTAATAATATTTCTTGGGATTAGTTTTTCTATGTTGTTTGCTATTTTTCATTGTGCAATAGAAAAAATCATCAGACATTATTAAAGTGTCATTATTTTTAAATATTATAAAAATGTCAGATAAAAGTGTGAAAACTTATACCACTTATAGGGATATGATAGATACTTTACTACTTTCGGTTGGCTTTCATCAGACTCAAAAATACGTTATTCTAAAAAAAATACTACCATATACACACTTGTGTATACTGATGATGCCGCTATATGGAACTTTCAATTTCAGTAAAACTCACTTTAAAAATGTTATGATGTTAACAAAAAGTTTTGGTGTCATGACAAGCCTCATCTCAATGATTATAAAAGTAAGAAAACTTTGTATTATTAAGAATAAAAAAAAGTTGTCTAGAATTCTGAAAAAAAAGAGATTTTTGGATTCATAATTGTGAATAATAATAAACGATCAAAGTTTCGCAGGAAAGTTTTTTTTTAGTACAATAATCATCTGAAATAAATAAAAGAGTTTCGAGTGATTGAAAAATATTATTATTGAAGCTATAAAAGTGAAATAAATTTAAAAAAGACGATCAAGCTCGGATTTTTCTTCCCAATAAATTTTTATGATCATAAACGATATTGAAATTCAATGATTTCAATATAATGAAAATGGACTTGCTGTAAATAATTAAAAAATTGAATTAGAAGAAAAAATGTATCTAATCAACTCCAATAACCAAAACTCATAGAATTTCAAGTTTCAGATAAAATAACTGTGTAATTTATGATAATTTTTTTTTAATTTTAGACTCATAAAATTGTGATGTGTATTTATCAGTTATTTTATAAAAATCGATGATTTTTACATTGTAAAAATGACTAATATCGATATGGTATTCCATAAAGTAGTAAGAAAAATTATGAATCAAGAAAAACGTCTTTCCATCACTGCAAATCGTGGTGTTTTAGTTTAAAACACTTAAAGTGTTTTAAAATGACGTCATTCGTTTGATTAACATTGTAGTAACTTTCGAGATGCTTGGGAGTGTCTAAAAAGTCTAAACACTTAAAGTATTTTCAATTAAAACACTTCAAAAATTTGAGATTTGCAGTGAAGCTAAATATCATTTTTGCTAGAACAACAATAAATAAAAAGTTAATTTAAATGATTCATTAAAACATGTTTTTTATTAAAGAAAATTATTCAACATTGTTGAAAACCATGTCAATAAAGACAATATTCTAAAGCCTTAAATGAAAGCTGTCTTTAATTATCTAAATTGTTTCAACTCTTATTTATTAAAAAAGCTTTTGTTTTCAGATTGGATGTTTGTTATTCAACAATGAGGATCTAAAGTACTTATACAATGAGCTCAGTTCACAATTCGATGATTATATAAAAGATAACCGACTAAAAACAACAACTCTAAAGGGATGTGCTACATTTTATCGATTATGTATGGCTGACGTGATATTTACATTAGTGTTTTGTGGTGGTTATTGCTTAGTTCCTGTCATTTTCATAATTTATCAATTTAATTATTATCCCGAAACAAAGAGAAACATTCTCTTATATCCTGCGGTTTACCCTTGGGATGTTTCTCCAGATAGTATTGCTTATAAATTGCAAGTATCGTTTGAGAGTCTTTGTCTTTTTTCAAGCTTTTGTGTCAACGCAGCAGTTGATTCTCTCTACTCATTTTATGTCTTTCAAATAACGGGATTAATTCGCGAGATTTCATTCACTATATCGAATATTGATCCGAATGATAAGTTCGTTAGAACGATACGTCAGTGCATCAGTAAATTTGATAAGATGATTAAATGCCGGAATAAGGTCGAAAGAATTTATGGACCAATTATTATATGGCTCATGGTATCTAATGCTGCTGTGCTTTGTACAACGATTTTTCAACTGACACATGTAAAAAATTCATTTATACATTAAATTTATTTTCATCATTATCTTTTTTTTTGTTCTAACTATTTATTTATTTCTATTTATTCGACAGATCAAATCGTTATCAATAGGGCGATTAATTGTAGTATTTGCTTATGTTAATTTAAAATTGTCACAAACATTTTTATATGGCTGGGCTGGAACTCAAGTAACAAATGAGGTAATTTTTTGAATTCATTTTTTATAGTCGTAAAAATAATTGTAAAATATTTTTTTAGAGTGAAAATTTAAGAGAAGCAACATACTCATGTAACTGGATTGGAACTCCTAAATTATCTTCAGCTATTTGTCTTATGTTAGTACAGAAACCACTAAAATTGATGGCGTTGAATTTTTTTGTTGTTTCAGTAGACATGTTTGCAAAGGTGAGGAAATATTATTTCAACATTTATTACATCTTTATATTTTTATATACCACAAGCATGGTAAATGGAATTTAGAATACCTGAAGAAAAGACTTTGAGTAGCCGATTATCGATTGGTGAAATAAAGCGGAACCAAAATAATATTTGTCAAATCTCACTAACTTGAATACTCAAAAATAGAATGATGGTTAATTACAGATAGAGATTAGAATTTTGACAAAATTCTTTTGTTTTTACCATGTCGCTAATCGACCACTTAGGCTCTTTGTTTATATTAAAAATTATATACACCATGGGACCTAAAACTATCATTGCTTCGGGAATGATGACGTCATCTGCCCGATGCCATAATAGGTCAATTAGATCCCTGGATATATAATCTACGATTACTATAAATCGAACACGATTTTTACAGATTGTTAATACTACTGTCTCTTACTACTTTTTGTTGAAAACCTTCGAGTAAAATTAGAATGATTCAAGATCCATATTTTAGTATAGAAATATTTGAGGTAGAAATTTATCTAGTGCAATCAAGCTTCATTTTAAAATTTAAAATATAGAAAAATGTCTTAATTCCTTTTCTATCATATTAATCTAGTCTAGATCAGACTAATAAATCTCAAAAGTAAGTACATTTTTTGTCGATTTCTTCTTTAAAATTATTTTTAGTTTTATGCAACTAATTATAATTATGTTTCTGGCATCCAAAATTGATTTTCTAAAAAATGTCGTGCTGAATGATACTTATTTTTATTCAAAAATCAAAGACTCGGGAAATAAATTTCTATCAATTTCTTTCTATTTACATTCATCAAATGATTTTCATGTTCCTCCCTTACCTTTCCAAAGTGGATGTGTTTTTTTACCTAATAAAACAGTGATGTTGATCAATTCCCTTTAAATTTTAATTTGATTGATTATTAACATTCATCACTCAATATCACATCATTTTGAACTTTAGTAAATTGACTAGTGTTATCAATTACGTAATTAAAAATATTCCAACTTCACCACTTGTAAATTAGAAATTTAAAGTGCTGACTTATTAGATAATCTTAACTGAAGAAAGATACAATATAAAATGAAGCATAAAGCTTAACTAAATTATACGATCGATACGAAAACAATTACGCTAATCGCAATTAGCTTATTTCTTATAGTCATTTCAAAATTGATTGTGAAATTACTCCCCCTTATTGTCTGTACTTCAGATATTTAAAACTACTTTGCAAAGTCTTTAAAACCATACCGATTGTAGCTAAGCAAGTTTCAGGCGTTTCAAATCATTATTAAGAATTGAACTCAATCAATCAAACTAATAAACTTAATCCAACTTTATAAAGAAAAATTCTACTATGTCAGATAATAAACTTATGTCTGATTATCGCATGTATCGAAACATCATGGAAAAATTACTGATACCAATTGGAATGCGTAGTAATCAAAATCCTGGGTTTATTATTCGCTGCTTACCATATATTCAGACATTATTAAGTGTTCTCATGTTTTTTGCAATTTTCGGATTCGTGCGATTACATATTGCTGATATTGCATCAGTGACGAGAGGATTAAGTATCATGATTACCTTTGCAACAGCTACTATGAAAGTAAGTGAAAAATATCATAGCTATTTTTAAAATTAATGAAAAAGTATACTCATAAAAACGACTGATTTGCTTCTAGATGGGTTGTTTAATAATCTACCGAAAAGAAATGGAAGAACTTCATGAAATATTGAATCCATACTTTAACGAGTTGCTAAAAAAATCAAACATTACTCATATCATTCTAGAGCAATTAACACTTTTTCGTCGTCTCACCTGGACATTCTTATTCTTTCTTATCATTTGTGGCTTGACTTGGAACATTATTCCATTATTTTCAATTATTTCTCAATACTTTCACCATGTTCATCCAATCCACTATAATCTCATTTTTCCAGCAGTTTATCCATGGAATGTATCTTCTAGTGAAGTTTTATTCAGATTTCATTTCATTTTCGAATCATTTGCTTCAATCTCACTGGTCACTGTTACAGCCAGTGTTAATTCATTATTCCCTTTCTATATTTTCTTAATGATCGGCCAACTACGTGAGTTTTCTTATAATATATCAAACACTAATGAAAAAAATACCAGTGAAAAAATTATCAAAAAGTGTGTTGATCAATACTGTACCATTATCAAATGTAGAGATAACTTACAGAAAATTTTTGGACCCATTGTGTTGTGGATCATGTGTACTAATGCAGTTATTCTTTGTACAGTTATATTCCAGATTACAAATGTAAGCAATGACTCATTATTTTTAGTTTATTTGAAAAATAAATATATCATCATGACTATCACTGTTAATACTACTACAGTTAATTTCTGAATAGATGAAAACAATATCTAGAGGACGAGCATTTTTGTTTGCTGCATACACGTCTTTAAAATTCACTGAAGCATTTTTATTTGCTTGGGCTGGAACATGTCTCACAACAGAGGTAATTTGGAGATCATTGTTGATAGTAAAATATGTCTGTATGTATTCTCTTTATTAACAGAGTGAAAATTGGAGAGATTCTATATACAATTCTAACTGGCAGGGAAACAAACGTTTTATGACTTCTATCATCATTATGCTTACGCAAAAACCAATTATAGTCACGGCTTGCAATTTTGCTGCTGTTTCACTAGATATTTTTGTCATGGTAAGCTTGAAAATTTGCTTTTAATAAAAAAGAAAATAGTTTAAAAAGTCTATCTTCTACGTGTGTTACAGATTGTGAATACTACTATTTCCTATTTCTTTTTATTGAGAACAATAGAACATACAGATTGATCACAAACATTAAATTAGTTCATCAGAAATATACCTCTTCAAAAAATAATTATTGTAAAAATTGTAGGAGTAATTGATAAAGTTGCACTCACATTGTTTTTTTGTTTTATTATAATTTTCTACCTTGTCTTGTAAAAAATGATTCAATTGTAGTCACTTAAACAGGATTTTATTTTTCACTCAACATGATTCAAAAAAAACTTTATATTATTTCTATATTGTTCCAACTGATGTTAATTAATTGATCACTCAATAAATTCTATGTCTAAGATGATCTGCACGAGAAGAAAGTAGAATTTAAACTGACGCTCTGAGCTCATTTGAAATTTTTCGATCAATACAAGAACAATCATACTAATGGTAATGAAGAATAATTTCTTTTGCATATTCATTTTCAAATCAATTTAAATTATCAATTTTCTTAACTTGAGTTCTTTAAGACGATTAGACTTATAGCGAGAATTCTTCGATACTGTGTTTATGACAACTAAGAAAACTTCAGTTGATCATTCATGAGAGAAAATAGTAGCGATAAGAACTCTGCTCTGATAAGTTATATAGCCAAGTTGAAAAACCTTTCAAGGAACATTACTTACATCTAAAATGTCTGAATGCAAACTTTTGTCCGATTATACATTTTATCGAAATATCATAGAAAAATTACTTATACCTATTGGAGTTCGTACATATGAAAAACCCGGGTTTATTATTCGGTCTTTGCCATATATTCAGACTATCTTAAGCTGTCTTATGTCTTTTGCTATTCTTAGATATGTTCAAACAAATACTAGTGATATTACTTCGATCACTAGAGGAGTCAGCATTATGATAAGCTTTTTGACAACCACTATGAAAGTAAAATGTTTTTTATACTTTTTATAATATTATAAAGATAAAAACAAAATAGAACAAGTTGATGACTTTACAGATGACATGTTTCATAATTTATCGCAAAGAAATAATAGAACTCCATCAAATATTGGATCCATACTTTAATGAACTATTGAAGAAGTCAAGCATAACAAATATTATTCTGGGTCAATTATCATTCGTTCGTCGTCTGACATGGACATTTTTATTTTTTGTAATTGTTTCATGTTCAGCTTGGATAATCATTCCATTATTTTCATTTACTTCTCAATATCTACGTCATGTTCATCCTATTCATTACAGTTTGATATTCCCAGCAGTTTACCCATGGAATGTACCGTCCAATGGATTAATATTTCGACTTCATTTCATTTTTGAATCATTTGCTTCAGCTTCACTCTGTACCATTACAGCAAGTATCAATACATTATTTCCTTTTTATGTTTTCTTGATGGTTGGACAACTTCGTGAATTCAGTTATAATATTACTAGCATTGATGAAAAAAGTGATAGTGACGTAATGATTAAAAAGTGTGTTGAACAGTATTGCACTATTATTAAATGTCGAAATAATTTGCAAAAGGTTTTTGGACCCATTGTACTTTGGATTATGTGTACAAATGCAGTAATTCTTTGTATGGTGATATTTCAGATAACAAATGTAAGTAAGAAATAAATAATATTAATTTTTTACACGTTTATGCCTTCATGCATACAACTGTATAAACAAGTGAGCAAATATACCAACGTAGATTTAAATAAATATATGTGCATGAGAAAATATGTATTTACATATACTCGTATATTTGGGTGTATATAGGTTGGAACAAGTCTTCTTAAAATCTGATTTACTTGTAAAATTTATGCGATTTTTAAATTCAAGATTCTTGTTAGTAAGAAATAAAAATAAAAAAAGTGATTGAAACCAGATCAAATTTTTTGTTACGTTTTATTTAATAATTATCTAAAAAAAAGTAATTCGTAAAACAAAAGTTTAATTAAAACGATAAAACTGCTCTAATTTTAAATAAGTTTTAAAGTTTTCAGGAAGTATTTTAAAGAGAAAGTATCATGCTTGCAGTATTTCTAGACTTACTCTAACAAACTAAAAATTCGATATTATTATAATACAACTATTAGTAATCATAATAATAAGTTTTTATTGATAATTCATAATTTTATCATATCTTTTATACACAAAATCGATTTAAAATAAATTACTCAATGAATATAAAATATAAAAAGTAATCTAAAAATAATCATTTTAATGCAAAAAAATGAAGAATGATAATAAATATTATTTATTTTTTAATTAGATGAAAACCATCTCCAAAGGACGAGCATTTTTATTCGCTTCATACACTTCTCTAAAGTTAACCCAAGCATTTTTGTATGCTTGGGCAGGGACATGTTTAACTACAGAGGTAACTTGAAGAACGATGTTAATAGTAAAATAGTCTGAGTTTCTCTCTATTAACAGAGTGAAAATTGTGGAGATGCTGTATATGATTCCAATTGGCACGGAAAACAACGTTTTATGACTTCGGTTACTATAATGCTCACACAAAAACCAATTATCATGACTGCTTGTAATTTCGCAACTGTGTCACTAGATATTTTTGTCATGGTAAATTTTTATATTCATTGTTAATAAATCAAATCACACCAAAGATACTATATTATTTCAGATTGTTAACACAACTATATCTTACTTCTTTTTATTAAGAACACTTGAACAAGCTTAAATTGTCATTGATTATTGTGTTTTACTTTTTCAACAGTTGAAATGATAAAAAATCTATTTCCTCAATAAATTAGCACTTAAAAATATTTCTAATAATTTCCTTTCAATCTTTTATTTAGAATTTTTAAACATACAAATATTGTTCAAAATTTTTATTTTCAATTCAAGTTTACTTTACTTTCTAGTTACTTATATACAACTAAAATCAAAAATCTGTTTTTTGTTTATAATTCATTAAAATTGTTTTTAGCTCTTTATTCCGTTACTTCTTCTGATCCAGAGTTCACACAAGACTGACGTTCCAACTTTATTGAACGTTTTCCAATCAATATGAAAGTAATTTTACCTAATTTACTTATTAAGCTTTCTCTCTAATTAGTTTAATGATTGTCTCTACAATTCCACATCTACTCACTCTTTTTCACAAAAATCAATTACAAACCATAGATATAATAAGTTTCTAATGGACTCATTATGTATTTTATCAATCTTAAGTCTCATTACTCCTAGAGATGAGTGAAGCTTTAGAATCGAAATACAATACCTTTCGAAGTGCTACTAAACTCTGGCTCTATACAGTCGGTATTAGGCCTTCGAGAGAGCATAATCTCTTTTTTCATTTGTTACCGTATTTTCATTTGTCATTGTGTCTTCTTCCGATTTACGGAATTTTTAATAGCTTGCGGATTAATATTTCTAACGTTCTCATTGTTGCAAGAACTATTAGCCCCTTAACAGGTTTTTTAACAATTCTTATTAAAGTAGGATTTCAAAAACATTTTTTGATTTAACTTTTTGGAGCATCCATTATTTTATGAGACTGGAATAAGTGTAGTGGTGGCAAAGTCATTTAAGAATTTTCGTAAAATTGGCAATTACAATAAACATATTTGCAAGAATGCTTCAAAAAGTTAGTCATAATTATTTATCTCTTTATTCATAATTACTTTTATTATTTTGTGTTTTAAGGTGCTGTGTCTCATAATAAATAGAAAAGAAATATGTGAATTACATGAGTTTCTTGATAACTCCTTTAAAAGATTACTTAGAAAATCTCAAGTTAAAAAGACAGTTTTAAATGGAGTATCTTGGTTTCGTCGAATCCCTTTAATTGTAGTCATTCTGACAGGTCTTACTTGTCTATTATTCAGTGTTACACCAGTGATTTTTATTCTCCAGCAGAAAATTAAACATATTGAACCTGTCAAATATATTCTCCCTTATCCGACAGTATATCCATGGAGAATCCCACCAGCAAGTCTGATATATTTTTTTCATTTGAGTACACAAACACTGTCAAATATCAGTATTTTTAATATCACTGCTAGTGTAGATACTTTCTATGCATTTCACCTTTTTCAAATGACTGGCATCCTTTGTGATATCTCATACAACTTGAAGAACGTTAGCAACCAAGATGATCGTATTGCAATAGTACGTCAATGTCTTGTGCAGTACAGCATTGTGTTAAAATGTCGAGACAAGCTCCAACGAATTTATGGGCCCATCATTCTTTGGACGATGGGGACCAATGCAATTTTACTTTGTGGAGTTGCATTTCAAATTACTCACGTAAATATTTTTTTGATGCATTTATGCATTTCGTGTGATGGTAACGTAATTCATATATTTATTTTGATTAAAATTTTGTACTTTCAAAAGATTAAATTATTTTTGTGATGTTACTTTTGAATAAAATTATAATTTTTTCACGTTTTGTATCAAAATTGAAGTAAACGTATTAAAAGAGCATAAATATATTTTCAAAACTCTTCATTTGTTAATCAAAAAATATTGATCACTATTGTAAACTGTACATTTATCAATTTATTACTTTTTCAGCTACAAACTGTATCAACAGCCAGAATAATATTATTCATTGTCCATGGTGGAATGAAAACCATTCAAATTTTTATGTATAATTGGGCTGGAAGCCGTTTGACAGAAGAGGTATACAAATTTTGAGCAAGCTGATTGAATATTTTATTCATTTCTGAAAACAATGATGGAAAATATTAAAATATTTTGACTTTTATTTAGTCTGAAATTTATAGAACAGCTCTATATACATCCAATTGGTTAGAAAATAAAAAACTGATGAAAATAATAGCTATCGCACTTGGACAAAAACCACTCATCGTAAAAGCTTGCAGTTATTTAATCGTTTCTCTTGACATGTTTGTATACGTGAGTAAAATAATTCATTAATATTCAATTTTTTTTTAATAAGATCCAATAAGACCAACAAAAATATTAACTTTAGGTCATGAATGCAACTGCATCATATTTTGTCTTTCTACAAACAATGGAAATACATTAAATAAAAATACTCTATTTTGATTCATTAACATATTAAATACAATTAGACAAAATAAAATTTTTGCCTATACCTTAATGATAATCCAATATACCAAGATGTCTTATAAAATTTCGAATCACATAAAATTAATTAAAGCCCATAAATAAAAGTTTAATGAGGGCTGAATCCAGAATGAGGACAGTACAAACCCTGAAGATGCATTTCTAAAGCTAAATCCTCAGTCTTCATTATGTCTCTGTCATTCCGGTGCTTAAAGTGTAATTCTTGTTTTTAGATAGTTTAGAATTTGAAATTTAAACCACCTTTAAAAAAACAAAGAGAAAGAGATGACTTAACTGAGATAAATTATCAAGCTACACACTAAGTACACGTATGAAAGAAACAAATAAATGAAGGATTTGATCGTATGAAAGTGTTTTTGTAGTTTGCATTGTTCTCATTCTCTATGTAGGGCTCATCAAACTCTGATCCATGTATTTTCTCGGAGTCACTTTTCATAGATATTTTATAGATAGATTAATTTCATTTGTATTAATCTGACTAATGTTCTTCTAAAATTATGTCTTTAAATTTTTCTAAAGAGTAAGCTTTATTTGGCATAAAATGGTTTATGCATTAGCAATAGACTTTATTTAATAGAAAGTTATTATTTTCAGTATTAATGGTTGAAATTACTTAATAACAGATTATTTAATTTCTAAATTCATGATTTAAACCTACCTAGAAATATTAATTTAATTGATTGAATATTGGATTTTAATCAAAATAAAAATTTATTAACTTGATGGACAGGATGAAGAAATATTTTTCATTTCTTTACAAAGAGTGTTTTCCTCAATGTTTAATTATGTTGCTACTGCGAGTGGTTACATTTGTAATTAAAACTTCTATTATTATGAACTTTAATTATTAATTGCAAAAACTTGACTAATTAAATTTTTGAATAAAACAATCTTTACTTCTTGCATGCAAGCATTCAAAATGTTTTCAAGTTTTCAAAGTTTAAGATAAGTAAAATTAAACTTCTAACAATACAGAATTCATACATCTCTAAGTGTATACACTTCTGAATGTGGTCATGATAAACAACTTAATGGTTCGGAGATTTTCAATGCTTCATACAATTTTTATTTAACTAAAGACAAGCATGCTGATGGATAAGCATATGCAAATGGTGCTAAATTCTGATTAAAACTCTTATTTAAATTAGTGAGATTGACAAGAAGTATTGAAATCATGTAAACTAACACGATTCAACTATTTTAAGATCTTTCAAGTTAAATACTACCTGCAAATTTAATTTTTACAATTTTCAAGTAATGTTACTGACTCATACACCAATTGCTACGAAGAAATTTATTGACATCTCTTATCAAATAACCCATTGAAAACTGTCATAATGATTATTGATGTATCATCAGCGTAACATCAATTAATTATTTTTAATTTTTTTTAGTATGATATATAGAAAATAACTATAGCTAAAGTGGACAAATATCTAATGCAATCTATAGAGAACTTTTTCAAATAATATTACGGCAAACAAGTGTATCCAACTATCAGACCAGCCAAGAGGTCTCATATGATTTCTGCATTTTTATTTCATGTTTGAGCAGCTTTAAGTCTATTTATGACTTATTTATCATTTAGTTTCAAGATTTATTCTGCAAGCATGTTCAGATAATATTAGGATTATCATCATGAGAGTACGGAGCTTACAATGAGCTTTTTACAATTATATTGAAGGTAAAACACCTTTTTATAGTGATAGCATACAATAATAATAATTTTGCAGTTATTAAAGTGAAAGAGGCTCATAATCTAATTTTTATTAGGTTCGTGTTTCTATGGTTCCCTCAGGAAGAGTGAAAGAGACTCCTGCCAAAATTCTGCTGAAATATTTTTATGTTTACTAATAAAAAGTTCAAGTTAGTCTGCCTGTATTCGTACCAGGTATATAATTGTTTGTTTATGATAGCCCAAAAATAAATGACTTTCGACTTTTACAAAACAGCCAGCAAAAATTGTAAAAATTCTTATAGTTGAATAGCACTTAGGTATATTTTACAAGTAATTAAAGTGATCAGTAGCAGACAATTAAAGTAAGAATTATCAATGGATAAATCTGTTAAATCTTGAGCTGTAAATAATACGTCAAAATATCATTATGTCATGTCCCAGAGGTGAAGAGCTTTAGGCTCTTGGGAGCTGAGTATACTCAGGGGTATGGTTTATACTTCTCAGGTATAAACCATACCCCCTATTGAGACATTTTTAAATCTCTATTGGTTATTATATAAAAGTCATAGCTTAGACAGCTTTGTAAAAGTAAATGTCAGCTATAAAATACTTGAAAAAGAGTGAAAGAACTCCACCACCTTCTTAATGTGCACCGATTAAATTTGATCATTTATTTACAGTGTATGTTATCAATTCCTGATAATCTATCAATTTGTTGATATTTAGTAACGCCAATACACAGAAAATCACTAATAATCACGTTCGCACTAGCTTCTTTGAGCTTTTTATTTCTTTTGACTTCATTTTATATCTCTTATTGTATTGTTGAACCATAAAAAGAGTCATCGGCCCACCACCTATATTTTTCATAACAACTTGTGTCTCTCATCACTTACAAAAACGACTCTCATTCGACTATATTTATTTACCTTTTTTACATGTAATATGCATCATTAATTATTATATATTTATTACATATAATTATTTTTTATAAATGTCATGTGTAAATAAATAATATTCTATATTTTTTTTTATAATAAAAAAATAGAAAATTAATCACTAAAAAAAGAAAAAGATTTTTCTCATAAGAAATGCATTGCTTCCGTTTTGACTGGTTATGTCCTTTTCTAGCACGCAGCGTTGCTTATAGCGCTATCTCACTTAGATCCACAAGATCACTAAAATGCGAAAAATCATAGATAGAAAAATCAGTGCACTTTCATTTTTGGGCACATTTATTCTATAGGTTATTACGGATAATTTAACGTTGGAAAATTGAAAATTGCCTATTGTAATGACAATGCGCCCACAAGTGGAGCTAAGCCTCCTACATTGACTGAAATTTACTTTAAAATAAATCTATTAGAACAATATCCAGAAATACATAAAAAAAGCTTTTATAGAACACTTGAAAATGTTGAAAAAATAATTAACATAAGTCAAGTAGGTTAAGCTTCGTTTGGATAAAAGTACTAGTTTCAGCTAGAATGTCAAGCATGTATTCTAAAACAAATATTGACTTTACTAACGATCTATTTTTCAAATGACTTACTAGAATACTTTTCATTAAATGTTCATTTTTAGAATTATAATTAATTCAGAAGATGTATTTAAAAATTCGATCTACTACACAAACACAAAGTATTCTTTGTCATTATATTCTGATATTCTGTTTCAGTTATAACAATATTGACCATATATGTTTTGAGTGTCAGAATAGTCCATGCAGACTTATCTTTAACAGTTATTTTCGAATGACACACATAAATTTTTTACAAAAATGTTAACAGAATGTCTGCATATTATTTTATACACATTTATCTACACCATTTTGCTGCACCTACAAAATCCTTAACCCTAGAAGCCTAATCTACGCCTGCGAGACGTACACGCGTATATTAAGGCTTTGTGTACGTTCGAAATAGATTAGGCTTCTAGGGTTAAAAAGTTTATGCCATGTGAATTGAATCTGAAAATCATTTTTCATATAGTGGTCATTCGAACTAATGAAAAAAAATAAAAAGTTCACTGTTTTATTTTAACAGAGATAAATCACTTTCATACCATATGCGTTACTGCAACAAAAATTTCTAATTACGTTTAGTACTATATTCAATTTATTGCCAGTTTTGGATTGTACTTGTTCATAGCTAACTTCATATTTGGTTTCCAACAGACATGTTTAAATCAAATTGCCTTATTTGTAAGTGGTCTAACTTACATCACAAATTTTCCATGATTACTTAAGTTGTAGGACAACAATTTATGTCAATGAACAACGTAAGTAATTGATTACATAAATCTCATAGTACCTGGGTACACCATAATAACTAGAATTTGAATTGTTTATCTTATTATAATAATATTCTTATTAAAAAATTCAAATATTGAACAACATTAATTTACTTTACGTTGTTTATACCTTCATTTCATAAAATTACCCAGAATTTAATTAATATTTGAAGCGATTAAATGACAGATAGCCATTGATTACATCAAAGACATAAACTATCAAAACTAAAATTTATAAGACGATTCGAAATAGTCAGATGATATGATTTGCTGCTAGAGTTAACCATATTTAATTAGGTATCTTACTATTTAATACATCAATATTTTAATTATGGAACATAGAAAATCTTGTAATGTTATTATTTCAAAAGTATTCACAAATTTTATAATTAAAAAAGTTGTTCCTTAAAATATGTCATCTACACGGCAATTCAGTTCCAAAAATAATTTAAGGATTAATATTACTGCTGAAGTAACTTTTGATAAATGTATGAAGTCATATCTTACTTGGCAGTGATCCTATGTAATATGAACTTTCATTAATAATTTAAATATTCTATCTTTGTACTTTATTTACTTAAATGAATCTCATGCCTACATTTTCAATTTAAATTGAATATATTATTTTAATCAAACTTCCTTTTAATAATGAGTTTTTTCTGACATCACTATGTGATCAAAAGAAAAAAAAAGCTTTCTCAATAGACATTTTCTTCATGAAGTCGAATGCTCTGCATATCAAGCACCTATGAATTTTAATTACTGCTAATTATTCCATAATTTACTTCTTATTCAAGCGATTTTTGAAGTGAAATTGACTTTACTTAATTAAAATTCTTATTTCGAACTAAATCTACTTCAATCACTGATATTTATATTCTTATTGATAATATAAAATTTATAATCAATATTCAATTAGCTTTCAAATAAGATATTTTGCATTTTATTATTAAAATATGTATGATCTCCAAAAGCTTCTTGAAATCAACTTCAACAAATTAATTGAGAGACTTCTAAATTTACTTCGTACAGCTTATTCTAGGAAGTGCCACAATTTATAAATACTTCACAGTAGCATATAATTTTAGAAATTTGTGGTTTGTTTATCATTGAAATGATTTTAAATACTTCTTCCTTAATTACACACCATAAAACATTATATTCATTGGATCCTATAATGTAAATTTATCTTAATATTTCTTGATATTTTTCATTAATTTTCAGAAAAAATATTTTTAAATCTAGATTTTCTTTCTAGTAAATTTACTTGTAACATTTTACATATTCCAAATGATTGTTCAACTTTGTGGCATTTCAAACTGCATTATACTCATCGGTGGAACGAGTAACAATGGAAATATCATGGCATATGTGTAACTCAATATCAAAATTGAATGCAATGTCGTGATACGGTTCAAAGAATCTATGTACCACTAATGATAATACTATAGACAATGCAGACAAATTTAGTTATTCTACGAAGTAGTGTTTCAAATTCTTTAGGTACAAATACAGTATTAATAATGTAATAACTACAATTATAAAATAGTTATACATGATGATTTTATTGAAGTCTCTTTTTCTGAATATAAACTATTTTGATATTGAACATTTGAGTGCTTTGAACGAATTTCAACTGACTGGAAAAATGATTAAAAGTAAAAAAGAATGCTTGTAAAAAATTATTTTGTCAACAAAATAAGAGGCAAACAATCGCAGTATACGGTGCCAAATGATATGGAAATAAAAGTATCTTTTTTTTTGTAATCATGCTCACGCCAGGACCACTTTTTTGTCAGCCTGTAATTTTCAAGCAATATCATTCAATATTTTGATGATGGTATGTATATAATAATAATAATAATAATATAATATATTTATTATATAATATAATATACTAAAATAATATAATATATATAATATAATAATATGATATATTATATAATATATTTAATGTATCAGATATTGAATAACAAGAATTATGAAAAAATTTTTTTTAAAGACTTTTTCTAAAAGTCTATTTGATAATAACAATGTATTTTAAGCTGAATTCAAATTTTATACAGTAGAATCTTGAATTTCTTTACCCTGAATCAATGATAAAGTTATTAATTGTTTGATAAACTCTCAACGTAGTCTGGAATCATTACACGACTACCTGCTATATTTTCAATTATTATCATTTGTTATTTATAAAATCGTTCTTTTTGATTCTGTGTGTATTATTACACTTTATTCGAAACTTAAGAACTTTTAATAAGTCGTATACTAATATCACCCTTGGTCTTTTCCAACAAATTAAAAATAAAGAAACGGTTCAAAGTTTTTGTATGAATATGGTGTTACTACTATAATCATGAATTAAAATATTTATTTACTTCTTGAACTTTTAAGAAAATAAGTTCATTATAGACATACATGAATAAGTCGTCTTCACTTGGAGCAAAGAAATTTACACCACTTTTCAAAGCTGATTTAATCAAGGTAAGTTTTTTGAAACAAAAAATTACGAAAATTTTCTCCCCAAATAAAGTATACTAAAGTGCTTCCACTTGTTACCACACAAATGAGACTTTTGAACCAACTTTTACTTAAAAAGTGCAAAGAGTTATACGATGTAATCAAGCTAAGAGTTACATTAAGACTGTGGCTCTGATGCTCATTTTCAATTCACCGATCGATTCTAATAAGTCTAAAGCCTAATAAGATAAATGAAGTATAATTCTATCTCTTATGTTTTACAATTATATCGATTGTACAATCAGCTTACAATTGTTTCTAAAATCATTAACCCTACTCCAAAGAGCATTAGAAGAGTTACCGATCTCCAACTTGGTCAGTTCATAAAGATCTCTCATAGACATGACTGAAATAACAGTAGCCAATTATTTGGCATATCGAAAATTTAATCGAAGACTTCTACCATTCATAGGATGGTCAAAGCAAAATACTAACAAAATAAATCGTTGTATTCCACATATACAATTATATTTGAGTCTCAGTATGGCATTTTTCTTACTTCGATATGTCAAGGTTCACTGTGATAGCATTGCAACTGTTACCAGAAGTTTGAGTGTTATGACGGGTTTCTTTACAATTTCGATGAAGGTACATAATTTGTTTTTGTTTTCTTTATTAATTTATTCAATAATAATCTGTTAAAAATAATTTAGTGTAAGCATGCAATTCATAAAATTTTAGTGATGTATTGCAATATTGATTTTTTTTTTTAATGATTAAGAAAAAATTGCAATACTGAATTTTAAAATATTATTATATAAATAATTATCTGAGACTCTTGTAATTTCTTTAAAGATGGTATGCTTGATAGTACATCAAAAAGAAGTATCAGAACTCCAAGAAGTATTAGATGAATACTTTGTTAATTTGCTAAAACGAAAAGAATTTTCATCTCTAATCTTAAAAAAACTCAATATTTATCGATTTTTGACTTGGAATTTGATTATATTTCTTCTTATGTCTACATGCATTTTATTAATTATTCCAGCATATACAATTATTTATAATGGTATTCATCATGTTGACCCTTCACGCTTAATACTTGTTTACCCAACATCTTATCCTTGGACCGTTCCTTTATCTGGTTTAATTTTTCATCTGCATTTTGTTTATGAATGTTTAGCAACTGTTGCAATATTTACTATAACTGTGAGTGTTGACTCATTATTTTTATTTTATGTATTTTTAATAATTGGACAACTTCGAGAAATTTCTTATTATATTACACATGTTGATGAGAAAAATAACCCTGAAATTATAATCCAAAAGTGTGTTATCCAATATTCAATATTAATCAAATGTCGAGACAATATGGAGAAAATTTATGGTCCCATAGTTCTTAGTATAATGGTCACTAATGCCATTGTTTTGTGTACATTAATCCATCAGATGACTAAGGTATTAAATAAAGCTTAGTGATCATGAACATTTGAAATTAAAAAGAATTAATAATACTATTATGTTTATTTACAATAGATGAAGATAGTGACAATCGTTAAAGCAATGCATTTCTTTGCTTATATCACAATGAAAGTAACTCAAACCTTTATGTATTCATGGTGTGGAACTCAGTTAAAAGAAGAGGTAATCGGCAAAAATTTACAATGACGAGATCAAATTTCCAATCTAAGTGTGAATATACTTTACCAACAGAGCGAAAATTTTAGAGAAGCCATTTATGCTGCTAATTGGTATGGAAATAAGCGTTTCATGACTTCTATCATAATTATGCTGCAGCAAAGACCACTAGTATTGACAGCATGTAGTATATCAGTACTTACTGTTGATATTTTTGTCAAGGTGATTCATTTATTTTTCCATTTTTTTCATTTTTACAATAATACAATTTGATTGTTTCTCTTTTATAGATACTGAACACAACAATATCATATTATTTCCTCATAAAAACCTTAGAATCATAATAGAGCCTAGAAATTAAATATATTCATTGAGTTATATGATCGAGGTCTAATATGTTAATTTACTAAATCAAAGAGTAGATCTCAAGCACTTTTTTTATAGCACTGTATACCTTTAATCATTAATATACATTGTTAAATAATTCTAAATATGTATTTGTTTTTTTTTAACAACTAATTAGCATTATCAATACTAAATATCATTATATTTTAAATTTAATATTAATTATTCTCGTGTAAAAAAAATGTGTTCCAGAGCCATGCTCGCGGAGTTCCAAATTTTAATGCCGCCGCTGAAACGGAGCGGCACGAATTTGGAAGTTTTTGGTAAAATTTTTTAATAGTTCATTTTCACGCACCATTAATTATTAGTTGCACAAAACTGTTTTTTTTTCTTACACTAAAAATTTTTCCACTTTTTTAAAAATTTTCTTCAGTTCAAATGATTTGTATTTTTCTCAATGACAGTTTAAAACGCAGAATATTTTACCGCTTGTGTATTATTTTTCTAGTTACTCGTTAACTGAGTTTAAAGGGAAAACATTCATTCAAACTTTTGAACTAAAATCATCGAATTTTTATTTTTCAAAACGTGCCAAATTTGTACCGCTCAACACATTTTTTACACGGGAATAATTGATATTAATTTCTTTTCAAGACTGGCTTGATTTTTATTTTAGTGAAAATAAACTAGCAATTATCATTATGTGTGAAACCGAGTTCAATGTCTACAAATAATTTTGTTTCTGGATAATAGTGATCACTGAATTCGAAATTCATTGGGACGTTAGTAGTGTGGATCTTTCGGGTCGCACCAAGACCACTGAAGAGCACTAATATTTTGATATTAATATTCATTTGATAAGTATTCTCAAGTATGGTTCATAAAATTTTAACTTCAAAAATTCGTCACAAATCTATAGCTTCATTTCAACTCATTTAATGACAGATATTATTTACACATTAATTTCAAAAATAAGGTATTTAGTATTATATTATTTATGTTTATGGGCTGCTATTAAGTCCTAATTATTGAATAATACGAATAAAACTGGTTAATCATTTAAAAAATGTTTTATTAACAATATTTAATAAATTCTACCACCTGTAGAAAAAATTCTTAAATTCAAATTTTAAAATGAATTGCTCAAGAAAACTAAGACATATTCTGTGAATGATGAATAAAAGTTTTTTTCTAACTCTTACCACGAAAATTAGTCTTTACTTAATATCAAATAAATGCAGCAACTTTTTAGACCATTATATCAAGAACTATAAAGAACATATATGATGTAATCAGTTCAAAAGTTGCATTAAGACTGGCATGGTTGCTTATTGTAAATTCATCAATCGATTCTAAAGTCTAATGGAGTAAATCAAAAGTAATTTTTCTTCTTATATTTTCCAATTACATAGATTGAAATAAATTTGTCTCATTATATGTAACTTATTAACCCCACTCCAGCAGAACAAGTAGGGTTATTGGTCTCTAAGGTAGTCAGTTGGCTAAGATAATCCATTAGAACAGGTTCACATTGATTGATAATGTCAAGTCTCAAGATAGCTGATTATTTAGCATATCGTAGTTTCAATCGAAAGCTGCTGTTATTCTTTGGATGGTCAGAGCAGCAGTCTAGTAAGATTATTCGATTTATTCCACATGTACAATTATATTTGAGCCTTACCATGGCCTTTCTTGTTCTTCGTTATGTTAAAATTCATAGTGACAGTATCGTTGCTGTAACCAGAAGTCTGAGTGTTATGACTGGTTTATTCACTATAGCTCTTAAGGTAAATTATTTTTCTCTGAATTTATTCCAATGTTCTTCTAAATAATTTAGGATTTTTAATCAATGTTATGATAATGTTTATTGATTCAATTTTTGATTTGTTGAAAAATAAACGAATAAATATCAAGACAAAAGTTCATTTTCCAAAGACAACGATGAACTCTATTAAGATGATATTTATTTTGCTAATAGTACAAGTTTGATTAAAATTCGATAAAAGCTCATGACCCAACAATCTGTTAAAACAAATTTACTCAAGTTGATCATTTAATCAATAATGTTTATTTTTAAAAATATTTGAATCAATTTTCCGTTAATTCTATTATCTCGTTGAATAATTTTTTTTCTTAATTACAATCAGACAATTTTTTTAAGTAGATGTGTTAATGAGTACTCTAGATGTTATTCGTATACTATTCGAATAAATTAATATAGTATTTTTTTTAAGATGATATGTGTGATAATAAATCGAAAAGAAGTATGTGACCTTCAAAGAATTTTGGATGAAAATTTTCTTACACTGTTAGAGAAAAAAGAAGTTCTACCTTTCATCTTAAAGAAAATGGATGTATACCGATTTCTAACATGGAATTTTGTTATTTTTCTGTGTATGTCGACGGGTATATTGATTATCATTCCAGTATATACAATTATTTACAATAATATTTATCACATGGATCCCACTCGTCTTTTACTGATTTATCCTGCTTCTTATCCTTGGACAGTTCCTTTAACTGGATTAGTTTTTCATCTGCATTTTATTTATGAATCTCTAGCAACCGTTGTAATTTTCACAATCACTTTAAGTGCTGATTCTTTATTTTTATTTTACATTTTTTTAATTACTGGAAAACTTCGGGAAATCGCTTATCATATAACACACATTGATGAAAGAAGCAGTCCTGAAGTTGTAATTAAAAAGTGTGTAATTGAATATTCTATTCTGATCAAATGTCGAAATAAGATGGAAAAAATTTATGGGCCCATAGTATTGAGTATAATGATTACCAATGCTATTGTGCTTTGTATGTTGATTCATCAAATGACTAAGGTATAATAATTTGAATTATTAATAATAAAAAAAATATTTTTTAATAAACTTGATATCTAATTTGCTTTTTTTCAATCCAATGAAAAAAGATACTGTTGATATGATTATATAATGATTCATTACAGATGAAAATTTTAACATTCATGAAAGCAATGCATTTTTTTGCGTACATTGCTGTAAAAGTTACTCAAACTTTTATGTATTCATGGTGTGGAACTCAGTTAAAGGTGGAGGTAATCGAAACAAATACACAATGACAAGATCAAATTTGCAATCTAAGTGTAAAAATACTTTACCAACAGAGCGAAAATTTTAGAGAAGCTATTTATGCTGCTAATTGGTATGGAAATAAGCGTTTCATGACTTCTATCATAATTATGCTGCAGCAAAGACCACTGATATTAACAGCGTGCAAAATATCAATTCTTACTGTTGACATTTTTGTTAAGGTAATATATTTTAATTACAATCTTATCTAAATTACACAAGTGAAAACATTTCAATAAATTTCTATAAATGTTCTATGCAAATATTCATGTTTGTATAATTTTTTTTCTAATAAATTCATTCCTATAAACTGATCTTGTGTAAAAATTACAAACTTAATGTAAATGAACTTTTTTACAAGACTTTTTGTAATCTTAAAAATTTTTTTTTTTTTTTTTTTTTTTTTAAAATTGATCAATATTTAATTATTTTATTAACATTATTCCACAATTAACACCTTTTTTCAGATTCTCAACACCACTATATCGTACTATTTTCTTATAAAAACTCTAGAGACATAATAGATCATAAAAAACGTTGATGATATTTTTTTGGAAAATTAATTCTCACTGATACTGATTAAATATTGAATACTATTTTATGTTTAGTGTTTAAAATAGAACAAAACCAATTCTGCTTACTTGGTACCATCAATGTGCTTGAAAAGCTAATAAAACATATTACTAAGAACTGTAAAGTCCTACAATTCTCAGGAAGTAATCAACTCGAATGTTGTATTAAGACTGTGGCTCTGATGCTCATTTTCAATTCATCGATCGATTCTAAAGTCTAATGGAGTAAATCAAATGTAATTTTTTTCTCATTTTTACAATTTCACAATTACATCGATTGTAAAATGACAAGTAGAGTTGCATATAGTATCTCTCCCACTCTTAGTAAGGGTACCCTAAAAGGCTTTAACATAATCAGTTTGCTGAAATCACTCATTGGTATAAGTTTCATTTAAAGTATATCTACAATGTCGGATAAACAAATAAATCGCTATCTGAATTATCGCAAATTCAATCAAAAACTCCTGATTTTTATAGGCTGGTCAAATCATTTTCGTAAATTAGCTTTTTTATTTCCATATGTCCAGCTGTATTTAGGCCTTACTATGGTATATGTTTCAATTCGGTTTACAGTAAATTACTGTAAAACTCTGGCAGCTCTTACCAGAAGTTTGAGTGTTATTACAGGCTTTTCTACCATTACGATGAAGGTAAATCTTTTTTTTATCAATCATTTTCATTACAACTTCACTTTTTAACTATATGTTTGTCAAGAAACATTTTATGTAAAGTTTTAGTGAAAAACTTTTAAATCTATTCAGCTTTGTTTTGAACAAAGTTCAACATATGGATGTAGTTTTATGAGTACTTTAAAGAAATTTACATCACTTTTCAATTTTTTTTTTCATCTATGAAATAAGTTTTTGATAAAAACTACCCTAGCAGTTGAGCAAATCTGAGACATTATCAAATGAAAAATAATGATATTATTACTACGTAAAATTTGTTCTTTCCTGAAAAAATAATCAGATCTAGTGAGATCTATAGGGATCCTAATTGGTACTTTATTAAATCTGATCAAATCTAAATTGATTTTAAATTCTATTGGATCTTGGAAATCAAGGTATACTTGATTAAATCTGAAACTGACTTTTATTGATCAATATAAGATTTGGTCAAATTCAGCTCAGTTTCATATCACTAAATCCAATCAAATCTACTTAGATCTTACTACGTTGTTTTTTCGGTGTAATTGACATTTTTAAATCCAATCAGATCTGATTAGATCTATGCGTGAATATAGACACGTGCATGTATACATAAGCATTATTGAATATTTACAATTCCAAAACGTATGTTCTTTTTAAACAAGCAATATGTTGTGTCTACGCAGTTCTCATTCAATCTTCTTGAACTCAATCAAATACATATAAATGTATTTTTTTGAACAAAAATATTTCAGATCTGATAATTTTTTCATAAATTTGATAATTCAAATATTTATTACTATATAGAAAAAAAAAATTGATAATAAAAAGAATACATTTTACTTCAAAGAAGAGCTAATTTTTTTGTTATATGAAAATGTTTAGGGTAATTTTTATTTTAAAACAAGTCTTTGTACTATGTTATATGGAAACATATTTTTTTTGAAGATGGCATGTGTGATAATACATCGAAAGGAAATCTTTGAGCTCCAAGAAACTCTAGATGAACATTTTTTAAATCTTCTGAAAATTAAAAAATTCGCAAATATTGTTTTAAACAAGATCGATGTGTATCAATTATTGACTTGGAGTTTCATAACTTTTCTTAGTATCTCTTCCTGCACTGTGGTATTAATTCCCGCCTACAGAATAATCCATAACAGTATTTATCACATCGAACCCACTCGTCTGTTACTAGTATATCCTACTTCATATCCCTGGACTGTTCCTTTAACTGGAAATATTTTTCTTCTGCATTTTATTTTTGAATCTATGGCAACTGTTGCGATTTTTACTATAACTGTAAGTGTCGACTGTTTGTTTTTATTTTATATATTTTTAATGGTTGGACAACTACGTGAGATTTCTCATGATATTTCTAACATCGGTGAAAAATCGGAGATTGATGATATAGTACGGAAATGTGTGACGCAATATTCTTCATTAATAAAATGTCGTGACAACATGGAAAAAATTTACGGACCAATTATCCTTTGTGTTATAATCACTAATGCTATTGTACTCTGTACTTTAATTTACCAAATTACTCAGGTATGATATTAGATCAGATAAAAGTAGTGAAATAGTCATAACAGTAGTCGTAGAAGTAGTAGTAGTAGTAGTAGTAGTAGTAGTGGAAAAATACATTAAAAATTATTACACAAAAGTGTTTATGAGTATTACTCGTAAAATGGTAGTTTTGTCACCTGGAAATACTAATAATGCAATGAAAATTATTGAATTTGAATAATATTGATAATAAAATATTGATATTGATACAGTTTTACGAAGTATAAAAAAGTATTTTTCAAAATAATCAAAATTAATTTAAAAAAATTAACACATTTTTATATAATAATTCATCATTTTGTTGTTTATTGAACAAGACAACAAGTAATTTCTCAAAAAAAGCAACAAGTAATTAGTTCTATAATGATTGGCCAAGTACATTGATAGAATAATGTTTATTTTCCGACTGAAAAGCAAAGCTAGTTATTCCTGCTCTATCAATAATCGAGTCTAACCATTCTCAACCAGAGCTTGCTTTCTACTTGGACAGTGAAGAGATCATCAAACAGTATAGTAGTACGGTGGTTTTAATTATCGCAACAAATGTTTGTTGCTTTAAATTTATTTTTAAATCTTGTTATAAAGACACCAATCAAGGAACATTGATCATTGTTTTGAAAATCTTGGACTAAAATCTTTGATTGATAATTTTAATGTCCAAGCTGCTGACGGTGTAATAATTTTTAATGTAGTTTTAGTAGTTATAGCAATGCACTAAAATTCTTTTTACATCAATCAAACAGTTACTTTCGTACAAAAAAAGCTTATTGATAATAATCGATATTTATTAGTTGCTCTTTAAAAATGAATCAGCGAACATTCATTATTTGTAACAATAAGTATAAAACTAATTCAAATAGTGTTGGTTTTATAATTAAAAATAGATGAATATTTA